ATTTTGTATCTTGTGAGTTGACTTTATTTGATTATATAGGAACAATTGAGTGAAATGAGGAGTGAGGTATTATATTAGCTAGTGACTCATCCACACAACAGAGTGGGCTCTCAAGTCATGATGTCCATTTCAAATGTTGGGCATGCAAGATCCAAAAGATTGAAATCATAATGTAGATATTTGTGATATGTAAATTATACCTTTATGTAATTAAGTATTTTTTGTGGCTTCTTGTTTATGATACGGCAATTAATTTAGAAAAAAACTTTGGCTACATGTACAAGAAATTTGACAAACCGTTCTTGATTTTCATTGACTCACGTTACTTTCAAAATCGATGTTCAATTTTTTCACAACATATGTTATGAAATTTCCAAGTAAGGTTGGTGGAACACAAATTGTGCCTAATGGCTTATCCTTACACAATTAATTTCCAATTGCTCTTTCAAAACACATGTTTAGCTTTTTTCCAAATTAGGTTAAGACATTCGCAAGAGACTTTACTGGAACCCAACTTATGCCACATCAGTTTTCATCAAATAATAAATTCCCAAGTCACATTAGGAAATTTGACAACATATGTTAGTTACTTTCCCAACTTATGTTGCAAATTCTCAAGTAAGGTTGCTGGAACAAAACTTGTGCCAAATGGCTTATCCTTATGTAGTAAACTTGTGCCAAATGGCTTATCCTTACGCAGTGAATTCCCAAGTCACGTTAGGCTCTTTCAAAACATACGTTCACCTTTTTTCTAAGTTAGGTTAGGACATTCCCAAGTGACTTTATTGGAACCTAACTTGTGGCAAGACTTATCCTTAAACAATGAATTCTCAAATCACTTTAGGCACGTTCACAACATACGCTAGTTACGTTTCCAAGGTAGGTTAGGGAATTCCCAAATGAGGTTTCTAGAACCCAATCTGTGGCATGACTTGCCCTTAAAAAAAAGAGTTCCCAAGTTATGTTAGGACACTTCACATTATACGTTAGCTACTTTTCCAACTCAGGTTAGGGAATTCTCAAGTAAGGTCACCGAATCTCGATTTCTAACAGATATCTTCTAATAAACAATGATATCCAAGTGGGGTTATTCATTTCACAAAATATGGTAGGAATTTCTCTTGCTTTGGATGTGAAATTCTCAACTAATATTATTGAATCCTATTATCTAAAAAGTCTCTTAAATGTTTGAAATACTATGAAAACATTTAATCCCAAGTGAGGTTCTATATTATCAGTAGTTATATTAGCAATATCCCTATGCTATGTTGGTGAATTTAGTAGTTTTATGTCATGACAGATTTTCACTCGCATAAATTTAGACTTAAAAATTTTCATTAACATTATATTACACTGATTTCAACACATGTACACCATATTTGCATCCCTTTTTACACAAAAAATATCTATCTACCTAAATGATACTTATGCAGTCTGCTTATCAAAAAACAACATAGACTACAATCTCATTTACAAAACCTATCACCTCTACAAGTATAAAAAACATATGAGGTGGGTGCCTGTACAAACTAACTAATATGCATATAGTTTTCACCCCCTTTCAATCCCTATATTGTATTGGAATTCCTACATCTATTCTTGGTATGTCCAGCTTGGTTACATCTTGAGCAATGATACACTTTTTTATTCTAAAATCATGACTCTCTTCGCTTGGTAGTGGGGGGCATGTAATCAATGGTGAATCCAAAAAGGTATTCTTTTCATAATCTTTATAATGTAGCTCAGTCAATTGAGGCATGTCAATGGTTTCTATCAAAATCATTGTGGAGCTATAAATTTTTTTTATGCATGGATAGTGTAGCATTCTTCAACATATGAATACACATTACCATGAACTAATTTTATTGTTACATATGCATGTGCACAAGGAATTCCTACCATTTGCCATTCTTGACAAGAGCATTCTTGCAATGTTAGATTCACTCTCAAGTTATTGTTTCCTACCTTCACTAGTATCATATTCACACTATAATGTTCAGCCACTATAATTTCAGCTCTCAATACATTCTCCCTCAACTTCGCTTTAACATGTGGTCTAACCCCGTTTAACCAATTCACCATTTCTATCTTGCTATTTTATAGCTTCCTCACTAATTTTGCTCGGTGCTTATTTATCAATGCACATATATGATGTTTTTTTTTCTTTCACTAGCCAAGCATTAAAGATTCAGAATGGTTTGTTATTATGTTGTCCCGTCTTTTGTATGAAAATTTTGCTAGGACCCAACGATCCATATCCCCATTTATTTCTAACCATCTTGCCAACTGTGGGGAGAAAACTATCAAATGACCCATAGCAATATGAAATTCTATTTCCAACCTTACATATGCAATATTATCTAACAACTTAAGTGCATCTTCGTTGGTCATCCCATCAATCCTTCGCATGCCTTTATTAATTTTTGTCAATTCAGAGATGTAATTTTTTTTGACATGACGATAACAAAAAGAATGTCGATTGCCATCAAATATTGCATGTGCTGCACCAATAATAGCATTATGCCTATCTGATACTATGGTCAATTGAACTTGGTGTGTGATCTCTCTCACATTTTTAAGAAACCAAGCCTAATTATTATATGTTTCTCCACCCACTAATGCATAAGCTAAAGGAAATAAGTCATTATTTGCATCAATTGCAGAAGCTGCTAGCAAAGTCCCCTTATATGGAACCACTAATGACTTCTATTAATAAACAAAATTGGATGAGCACCTTGGAGAAACTCTTTGATGCAACATTCATATGTAATAAAAAGTCTATCAAATCTGTAATTTGTTAAGGTAACCCACTTTGCAATTGTGTCTGGATCCGTCTCCTTTAATTTCTCATAAAGCCATAGGATCAACATGTATGATTGTTATGGAAGTCCATGTATTTCCTCCAATGCTCTATCTTTTCCCCTCAAAGCTTGCCAATATGTGAGATTTAACCCATACTCTTTGTAGAGGTCTTGTCTAATCTCATTTAAAGTTTTCTCCACATTCTCCCTCATAGCATCAATGATGATTGATGATGTCAATTTTGAGTTAGCCTTTTGCTTTAATAGGAGGTTGTTTTGAACAAAATACATGTATTCATTGTGGAATTTTTTTACACACAATATAAAGGTTGTCTTCCAAAAGCATAAGCTAATATCTTCCATTTACAACAATCAATATTGCATTTGACAATCATATTCTTAGGGTTGTTTCTCACAAATATGTGACCAAACCTATCAGCAAAGTTGTATTTATATAGTGGCTTTTTAAATTCAACTGCATCATCAAATATCTGGCCAACACCCATAAATAAATCCTTCCATTTTATCAAATTAACCTCAGGCAGTGGTGCAAGAGAATTTTGTGTTGAACATGACAAAGAGGGTGATATACTTTCAAGCTCTTACCTACAAGGAGATCCTGACAGTGACCATGGTAACAAATCCTCCATCCTACATTCACAATTATTCACAGGTCAATATAAATGGTGATTAAATTAATTAAACACAAATAACTAAGAACAACAACTTACTCCATCAAATTATCCATTGCTTCATGTATTTCATTATCATTTGTCTCAACATATATATGTGCTGACTTATCATTATACTTTATCAAATATTGTACTCTCTCATCGTCTAACAGATCTATGTATGTGTTTTCACTAAACTTCATGATAAATTTCAAGTTAGCTGCACCTCTTTCAACTCCTGTCATTGATGACACCATCCTCAACAACTCTTCATGATTTATGTCTTTTCTAATCAATTTAAAAATTAATCTCCCACCTTCATAGGTCATCTTCTCTTATGAATTTTTTACAAAATGTCCATCAACATAAAGATAATAAAATACTTCTTTTGCTAGAGTACTTGCCATATGGAAAATAAACCTGAAATAACTACAAGTAACAAATAAATTTAGTATTTCACAACTATCCATTCCATAATCCTAACCTTAACTACATAAATTCAGCATCCATGTTACGTTTTTCAACATTCATGTACTTTTCAACACAAATTAGAAAAATTCAACATCCATATTATATCTTTCTTGTTTTTCACTCCTCAACTTTTTCAACTATGTCGTTCTCAAAAATCATTTCTTGCGCATGTCTATATATATATATATATATATATCTATTTATCATAAAAAAATTACTTTTTTCCCTACATATAAAACAAAGAGAAATGGTGCAAGATAGCATTTGCAAAGACTAAAACATTTTTTGTGTGCGTGCACGACAGAGGACGTGTGTAAAAGAAGAAAACAGAGTAATGGAAGAAGAAGATGCAGATTTCTCTTACATGCATGGCAGAGGACGAAATGTAAAAGAAGCTATGCATATAATTACCTATTAGAAGACGATTATGCACTCCACGAATTTTTCCCTAACATTTTCAGCGGACGAGAGCACATCCCATCAGAATTTTTCCTGCTGAAATATAAGAAAATAGAGCACACAAGATGAGCTTCTTTCTTGTTAACTTTCAGTGTTTAGTGAGGGGGCAATTTTGTAAATTCAGGTTTGTTTTTTATCCCAATTTTGGGATTTCTATTTTTTAGGGTCCCTTATTAGAATTAATGTCCTTAGGAGGTCCTTAATTATCATTCTTTCTAATTATAAATTATTTGATTGATATAATATATTTTTAATAAGGGTATAATGATATTCATATCTTAATTTTAAATTACACTTAGATTCAAAAAAATTTGGTTATGATTTCCAAATTTTTTTTTTAAATTTTACTTCTAACCTACATCTTTCTCATAAAAAATTTTTTACTTCTAACCTAATTCTTTCTCGTAAAAAAGGAGACACACATACCCATACAAATATATTAATATGGGATTCGAATTAAGGATCTCTGTTAAGAGAGGAAGGTATTATTGTTATTAAACAACTGACCATTGACAAATATCTGAATTTTACTAAGCTTATGTATAGATAAGTTTGTTCCACTATACCAATATGCAATGTTCCCATAATAATAATAATTTGGCAACATTACGCGGCTGCCTACGTAACGCGAGCCTTCCGTCCGTCCCTGCGGAAGAGAGTCGGCTGGGGAAGAAAAGATGGTTTGGGGAGAGGCCAAGGGGCCAAACTCTCTGAACTAATGACAGGGAAGAGGTTCTCTGTGCTTCCGTCAATTTAATCATTTTCCTTGATGTGAATTTACCTATAGGCTATAATATACCGAGACAAATACTACACACACACACACACTTAAAAAAAAAAAAAAAAAAAAGACCTTGCGCTGGCCACTGTTGCTGCTTGGAAGCATTGACCGCTGAAAGTGAAGCTAGCGTGGGACTCCACCTTTCCACCGGAGGAGCTTGACGCTGACAAGTGGATATTGAGAGGCAGATTCGAATCGGATATGGTGAATGTTGGTGGAGATGACGATAGCCAAATAGTTGCAAGTAGCTGAGGGAAGTCTAATTGGAGAAACTAGGCAGAGATGGGGGATAGTTCAAGTTCGGGATTCAAGGAATATGTGGCCGGTTTGCTCGCTGGGGTTGCGACTGTAGCTACGGGTCATCCCTTTGACACTGTGAAGGTTCTCTTTTGACCCACGCATGTTGTGTTATGTATTCTAGTCTAATTGCTCTAGTGGTTGTAATGATCGAATGGGTTTACTTTACTTGTTATATCTTTAATATATTCTTAATTAAATGTCCCTTCTACTCAATTCCTGGGGGTGTTTATGCTCTCCAGCTTCTAGTAATTCATGGCTAGCTTCATAGGGAAGTCGGATAATAGGGGAATGAAAGGAGGAATTCATTGTTTACATTTCGTTTCATTCCGATTTCTATTATTCCTAGACCAAGCAGGCGTAAGACGACATTTTCATATAGCTTTCCACTGTCATAATTGTTTAATCATAATTTTACAGACTATTACCCAATGAAGATTGAAGAATTTGGCTGTTGTACTGAATATTTAAGTCTTAATGATGTGGATTAGATGTGAAATTTGTTGTGAATACGGGGAAATTTTTAACATAATTGACATGTTTAACGGCCGTTACTTTGTCTAATGGTGAAGTTTACAAAAGAAATGGGTTATTGTCACTTCCAAATAGTTTGGAGTAGTGTGATAATTTATTCGGTACTTGGAAAATTTTGAAATTAATAATAAAAGAATAATTTCAAATGAACAAAAATGATTGTATTGTCTCTGATATTTGAGCAACAATAGCATGCCACACGGCACGGAGGAGCATGTTAATCTCAATATGTAGAAGAATGGTAAATCTTGAATTGATATTGGAAAGCGTATACATGTGAAGTGGTTGACGTTTGTAAGGACTCTAGAAAACAAAATGTTCAAGCAACCCTAATGTAAAACCTGAGATAGATAGCAATTCTCTAATGATCACAGCCTTTGCCATCAATTTTTACAGCCCGAGGATTCTTCTGCACCTGACTAACAAATTTTCCATGCACTCTAGAACTCTGCTGTGCAAGCTTCTTTCTGCATTCATACTCAACCTATTATACATATAACAGTAAGTTTACCATTCAGGGAAAATCTTCATCAGAGAATTATTCTCATTCTAATGAAAGGTGATGCTGACAGTAAAAATAAACATCTCTCCTCCTATTTCAAGGAAAACTTGTTTAGAGCTTCTTCTCTTTGAATATGTTCATGATGATTCCTGTTATTTGTGAGGTCGTCATTCTTGCTTTCTGTAGCTTCCTTGATAATAGCAATCCAGTCAACATCGCTGTTGCTGCATGCACTTTGAACTATTTTCTTTGGTATTTCACTGATAAAAAGCCCTCACTTGAGAGCTTGTAGATTCTAGGTGCTGAACCAAGTTGGGACCTGGTGTTGATAGAGGACCTAACTGTGTACAAAATGTAGGGGTGAGTTCAAAACCATAGGTTGTGTATAGATCATTGTACCTCACAACTTTTTATTGGGGCTGGAGGAGAAAGCCTATGCTAGGAGGCTGGTATTGTTGTGGGTTCAGTAAAATGGGAGAAGATTGAAGGCACCTCCAAGTCTGAATTTCTGCATCTGACCAAAAGAAGGTTGAAGTAGAATCTTGAACGTGTCACAGTATTGGACGCTCTGTTAGATATATGGCTAAGCTTGATATGAATTCAGCAAATCAATTTGAAGGAGAATTGACTGAATCCGCTCCCCTCTGTTGAATCAGTTCATAAAGTTACCCTGCTATCCCTTGCCATTTTCCAAATACTTACATATGCAGTGGATAAAGTAAATCAGGCTTTGGCTCACTGACTGAGAAAATATGGGCTTCCAAAAGAAAAATACCCGTAGTTGGCCAAAAAAAAAAAAAAAAGTTTACCCATACAAAGGCTTGAAAAAAACCTTAAGAAATCCTCAGAACAAGAACCAATGTCATATAACAGCAATACTGATGTATTATCTTACTTCCTTATTTTCCAGTTTCCATGATATAATCTCCTGCAAACTAGCAGGAAAAGTTTGTGGTTTATCATGTTATGGCATATTGCTAATACATGGAATCATGGGTGCTAGTATGAATTTTGCATTGGTTAACTTCGGACTAACATATAACGATTGTTGGACTCAGATGGTTAGATCTGTGGTATTATAGCCCTAAACTAGAGACTTCATCAACATAATCTGGAATTTCCACAAACTTGCATATGCTTAACAATATATTTCGTTCTAAAATCTGGCCAGTATCATTACTGTTTAATAATTTGATATTTTATGGTAAGTTTTCCTTATGTTAATTGGTGACTAAAGATATTATTGGCATCTAGATGTTTTAATATTTTATATCATAAATTTTATTGCTGGCTGGTTCTTTGGGTGCAATTATAGTCCTTTTGAACTTATAGTTTATCTGTTTATTATTTTTTTATTTGTCAGGTGAAGCTGCAAAAACACAATACTGAAGCACATGGGATTCATTATAGAAGTGGTCTGCATTGCACTGCTAAGATACTGAAGACTGAGGGAGTATGTTTCTTGATCCTTATCTTGTGAGGGACAAATTTTCTTTTTTATATGCATATTTAGAAATAATGAATATATAATTTTGAGTCTTGTTAAGAGGGGTAAAGAAAGGGCGAAGAGAACATTTTGGAAAGTTGTTGATTGAAACCTCTTAGTTGATAACATCTATAAAAGCGGGTAAATGATAGAGCACAATAGTGTTGTACAATCCAGATAGCCAACCCCATGTAGTGGAATAAGGTTTCTTCTTGTTGTTGTATAATTTTGAGGTGTACTAGTGCTGGCAGAAAATCTTGCTGATTCGTATTGTAAGTGTCATGAACATTGAGTGAGATCATCAATTTAGTGTGTGTTTGGCTAACCATTTGGAGTTGCCAAACTGACATTCTACAAACCTAGTTTTGATATATGCTTGTTTGGGTGACTCAAAACTGACTTTTGCAAAATGGAATATTAATCCACGTACATTTTGCAAATGGAAACAAAAGTTGATTTCAAGAAATTGAGTTTTGTAAAACTGGGTTTTGTTAATTGGTATCCAGGTAGCCAAATACACGATCAATGGATGCTCGTTTATCTTTCAAGATAGATTGAACAATTTACTGATTATGCTAATGTAACCATCAGTTAAAGAGTAATAATGACGTTATTTGTTCATTCGATCTGTATTTTGTGTTCACAGTGACAGTGATATGATTGTTAATGTCTTGCTCAGATTGTAGCCCCAAATTTTTTGCATGATTTTGAGAGGCAAGGATTTCATATAAGAACTGGAGATTATGTATCTTGTTGGCTATCAACAATGAGATGCCTTTTTTCATTCATGGCTGCACCTTGGCCTTTTAAACATCAGTTATGCTGTGATGGTAGAAGGAACATATCTTCACCTGGGTTACAGTTCTTTATGGAAAAGAAACACATGACATTTCTTGCTTATCATCATTAAAGCATATTCCAGAGTTCACACATCTTTCATCAATTAGAAGTTCATGTTGTGAGCAAAAAGTGGTTGCCTTATCCTTTTCTTCCTTAGGGTCAGCATGCTAATGTTATTTTTATAGGTATATCTTGTCTTTCCTGCCTATGTCTTCCTTGCGAATAAAATTCTTGAAACATCTACCCATGCAGCTGTATCCCCCATTTTGATTGCTGAAGTCATGGAAAATGATAACATAATTGCAGTTTTTTGGGGTGCATCTTTTCCTCTCACATTCAAGATTTACTCCAAAAGTTTATAAATAAAAGGTTTAGGGGTATATTCCTTAATCAAACATAGCAATGCTATAAAAAAAAAATGAAAATCAAGAATGTGAAAATTGTTAATTGTTATTTGATTATTTTGATCTGATATACGATATGTTTTTGTCGTTATTTTCAGATTAGAGGACTTTATAGAGGAGCAACATCATCTTTTATTGGGATGGCTTTTGAAAGCTCACTGCTTTTTGGCATTTATTCCCAGACTAAACTAGCCCTCCAGGTTTGCATGAAAGTGACTTACATCAGCCTGACATTTCATTTACCCCCAATTGGTAAAGTTACCAGTCCAGGTTTGCATGAAAGTGACTTAACACACTTCGGTTGACACCATGTGCTTTCGCTTTTCTTTTTCCTTTGTTAGGGTGGTCTGCCAAGCAGTGCACCACAGCCTCATGTAATAATACCATCTGCAGCTTATGGCGGTGCCATAATCAGTTTTGTGTTGTGTCCATCAGAGCTGGTGAAGGTAAAATGAACATAGGGTTTATGCATGGTAGCGTTGCTTATAAGTAATTCTTAGGCAGACCTAATCTTCGTCAAGTTAATTATTTATTAACATATAGGCATGTTGACATACTTTATGGCGGATCATTTTTAATGTGTTTATATATCTAGTCATGATTGGCTGCATCTAAAATTTGTGTAGAGATAGCCTACCTAGTAATTTCTTGTTGCATATGACTCTTCTGTCTCTGTGATACCAGTTTAAATCTGAACTTCCAGTGCAGGATGCAAATCCAAGGCACTGACTCTTTGGTTCCCACGTCCAGCAGATACAAGAGTCCTCTTGATTGTGTCCTAAGAACTGTAAAAACAGAAGGGGTGAGAAAAATCTGTCATATCCTGGAACATCATGATCAATGTGTTCGTTAGCTGACAAAATACCTTTCAGGTGGCTGGAATCTTTCGTGGTGGTTATACAACGTTGCTTAGAGAATCAATAGGAAATTCTGTGTTTTTCAGTGTTTATGAATATGTGCGTTATCACATGCATTCACATATTAAATCTGCCTCGTCCAATTACAGTAACTTGATTGACATGGGAATTGGGATCGTTTCTGGTGGCCTCAGCGGTGTAGCTGTAAGCATATTGACAACCATGCAGATTTTTGGTGTCATTGAACCTTTCTAAACTTTGTGTTCTTCTCAATGTTCTGTCAGTTTTGGTTGGCTGTTTTACCCCTGGACGTGGCAAAAACAATTATTCAGACTAATCCCGATAAAAAATGTCCGAAGAATCCTTTTCATGTCTTGAGTAATGTAAGCTCTCTGAAATCTTTTCGCCCCTTGTTTCTCAACCGCCGAATGTTTGAAAAAGATTGTATGTAAGAGCTCAAAGGTGGTTTTTATTGTAGATTTACGGGAGGGCTGGATTAAATGGGCTTTATACAGGCTTGGGTCCCACAGTAGCTCGAGCATTTCCTGCTAATGCAGCCGCAATTGTAACCTGGGAACTAGCAATGAAAATGTTAGGCATTAAACATGACTAAGGTTGGTGAATTCATGTTCTCTATACTGACTTATCATTCTATCACTTATTGACTGGTGAAAAGTTTCTGTTATTCTCTGTGCAGAGTCCCCCTCTGACATTTTCTAGTGGCTGGAGAAATAGAATGATTTTTAAAGTAGGTTCCAGCATTGCATTGCCATGAGAAACACAGCTCGGTTAGAGTAGTTGGAAGAGGTCGTGATTGCAAACCAACCAACCACCCCCCCTTCATTTTTTTTGTTTTTAAATTCTGTATCATTTTTTCTTCATTCATGTCATTTGGATAGAAAATTATTTTCATTAGAATTTCATTCTTATATCGGTTCACGCTAATTGTTTCCCCATTCATGTTGAAAGCTGAAAGTGAGAAAGAAAGCAGAAAATTTTAACAAGTCTAAGGCTTACTTTCTGAGACATTAGAGTACTAATAATTGATGCAACCATTGACAACTCTGACTCCGCTTCTTGACTTGAACGCACCACCATGTGACGACTGGGTCAATTATCATCTGATCCAGTAATTTCATTGGCTCTTTGACTCTCTCTCTCTCTCTCTCTCACACGCTCCATTATCACCTTGACAGTCAATGCAGTGGATCCCTACATTAATGGGGATGCCTAAGATTCCTTTTTCAGCCTCCTTTTATACACTGCCAGTGAAATCTGCACCACAATTTCCATCTGTAATTTGTGTCGGTAAATATGCTTTTCAGGGGGATGTGCTGAGGTTGACTGCAAGGGACCGCTACGTAGAGTTTCTTGGCAGAATAAGGAACAAACCGACCTTTAGTTAAAATTGAGGCCAAAATTGCCGAGAGTTTTATATGCTATTAGAATTTTCCATGAACCGAAGGTTTCTGTGCCAATGAATGGTTATTTTATTCTCATTATCGCGTTGGCAATCTTGTTTGCCAATCCTTTCATAGAGAGGCTATCGTTTACCACCCACTAGCTTTATGCCCTGGTGCAAGGACCTTACCATGGATCATCAAGTTTGAACGTCACGTTTTGCCGTTCAAGATAATGGAAAAACAAATTGCAATTGCAACTTATTTCCAAGAGACTCAAAGAAACGCTCAAAACATTTCTTGCGCTTGCTCTTCTTTTTTTATTGTTTACAAGTGTGTTCATATTAAAGACAATTGTATTTGAATACAATAAATTGGACAATAAATGTGAGTATTTCCTTTAATAAGAATTCAAACTTTAATTTGTCACCTTGTGAAGAACTAATCCCTTTTGCTTTGCTCAACTCCCATTAGTTGTGCAATTGTGTCAATAGTTAATTAAAATTAACTGATTATTTGAGGTCAATTTTGCCGCATAAAACACTTAGATAAACTGCTGTTAACTATTTACAGGGACGTTTTAATATTATATATCCAAGAACTTTTCGATGTCTGCCATTCAAAACATTTGAGAAACTAATTAACGCAAGCTGATACATTGAACAATTGCAGAGAATAAACACAAATATTTAGTGTCACATGGTCAAGTTTTGCTGATTCCAGATGGAAGTATTATTGTGCTAGTAGTAAATGGTGGCAGAAGATTGACAGAAGACAGAGAGCATCTTTGGATAACAACAACATAGTAAAATTTATCCATGAAGAAGGTTTCAGTAGGGGAATTTATTTAAACTAACATGCTTGCCTCAGAGCTCAACATGATCGAATTTCTCATTGATCTGATGAGATCCTTCTTCTTCATGATATATATGTAGTTAAGAAGAATTTTTTCGACGCCTTTCATTGTGTCCAGCCAAACGCTTTCTACAACTCCTCTTCGTGTCATCAAATTCTCCCAGCTCATGAAACCTGACAATCATTTTCATGATGAGAAACTGTTAGCCTATGATGGGAAATTATCTACACATATCAATATGAATCAATCTGAGTAAAATAAAAAATCTTGCTTGCATTCATCTCAAGGCTCTGACGATATATATCGGTCATTTACCCTTTTTCATTCCTTCAAAATCCTCTTCTCCAGACATATGGTAAGAGAGAGAGTCGAAGGAAGAAAGAGGTTTTACCTGTGTAACTCAGAAGGATGGATTAAGGAAGACAGAAAAAGAAATGAAGACTGGTGTATGTAATAACTAATACGTGTCCCTTAATTAGAAATAAAAAATGAAACACATTTTGTGATGTCATAATTAGCTAGTCTCCTTGTCAACTTAGAGCTATAACGGGACGGAATTTGATAGCATTTACAATTAATATCCTACACTACTATTGGTTTCCTTGATATGCATATATATACTCATGTATGTGTATTGATACCTCAAGATATTAAGTGAGGAAAGGGGAAAAATCCTCCATACCAAATATTTTTGCCATTTTGTCTGTTTCAAACCTTGCAGGAATCCTCAGCTAGCTTACAATCAATCACAAGCAGTAAGAATGCTGTTCATATTGATAATTAAAAAGCTTTTATCTTTTCCCACCGATTAACTTGCTTAAGGAGGGCAAAAACAAAATTCCAACCAGAACTCCTAAACTGTCGTAATTGACTGAAAAGATTAACCTTCAATATGACTAAATTGAAGAATTATATATAACTGCTTAAAGTTAAGACTTGGATTCCTATTCCCAATGGCCTTAGAACCTCATTATGGCAACAAAAGAACACAAAAATGCAATTACTAACAAGCAATTCAGATTCACAAAGAAACTCTAGATAGAATTAGGGTTTTGTGAACTACCTGCTGCATTGCTGGCAAAACCTTTGGTGCACGCCTGCAATGAGCACAGAAGGAGCCTTGGCATGGAATTCACAGACCTTGTGGCGGCGATGGTAGTTCTTAGCCTCGCTCAGATCACTGTCACAACTTTCCACCTGACAGGAAGGTGCCATTGATGATGACGACCCTCTCTTGCTGTACGGATCTCTCATCTTCTTCCTCCCATCATCAAACTCATCAACCTCTTCTTCTTCTTCTTCTTCTTCTTCTTCAACCTCCTCCTCCTCCTCCTCGACTTTGTACTTGAAGCTCCTTTTTCCCTCTCCGCCGCTTCTTTCCATATTGGGAAGCTTAGTGTATGAGGAAAGGATATTAACGGCACAGAAAGAAGGATATGGGGGAAAGAGCCATACAAGCTTAGTATATATAGAAAAGGAGAAAGATTAGATGCAAATTCTATACAGATCTTTTACTGTTTAACAATAACATGATAAATTATCTTGAGAAAAATAACCTGCATGTTGTATATTTGGATTTATTTAGAATATATATTTAAAAAAAAATTGAAACTTCATCTAAGTCTTCTCATCTCCAGTCTCATAGCAAAAGAAGAAAAGAATTAATGGGATAGGACCACAGGGTCTCTCTTCCTCTTCCAACACGAGGGGTTAATAGTGAAAGGTCGGAAACTAAAGACGTAGCCTACTTTTTGATTGGTATGTTACCGTACAAGACGACACAGAGAAGACTGCAAATAAATCCAAAGACTACTCCCTCCATTTTTTAAAAGTTCATTTTATTTCTAACTATAAAAGATGTTAATAATTTCAATTTAAACACTTTTATCATTATCTTAAAAAATAAAAGAATATTAATTATATACTTTATCCACCACCATTATAATATTAATTATAATATTATTAAGGATAAAATTAAAAAATTAATATAATATTATGTGATTTTAATCAAATAAATGTTTTTATTGAAATACTAAAATTTAATTAAAAATATCTGGAGGGAGTATTGCCTTTTGCTCTCGTGCTTGGACTTTTCCTGCGGTATGGTGTCGTGATTGTTAATAACATACCAGGGCTGCTAGCTGTTTTTGAATTAATTAAATGGATATAGTGTGTGTGTCTGTGTGTGTCTGTGTGTGTGTGTGTGTGTGTGTGTGTGTGTGATTCCCTTTCGTTTTAAAGTCTGTGGTCCCTCAACCGTCAATCACCATAGCTTTTATTTCTAGGCTCTCTAGCTAGTTTACCTTCATGGCATCTCTCATAATTATTAGTTATCATCATCAAAATTAGGAAAACCTAGCAAGATTAAATAGTTATAAGAAGGCCCCTGGTATATAAAATTCAAATTTTATCCTGTCTTCTTCAAAGGGCTCTTTTCTTCCCTGGCGGCTGCCGTGAAAGTAATTAAATAAGTAAAGGACAAATTAACAAAAGAAAGAATCACATTTAGCTCTTTCCAAAAAAATTTATCACAAATAAAAATTAATAATAAATTTCATTAAAAAAATAAATTATTTTTATTTTAATTAATAACAATCCATTTCACAATCATCTTTATTGGTGATTAATTTTCTTGGGAAGGGATTAGATGTGATTGTTCCTAAACAAAAACCATAGGCACACCCACCATTCCACCCTACTCATGCATGCTCAAAACTTTAATAATATTTCTGTTGATTTCCTTTTCCTTATTAATAGAACTATACACATGAGAAGAAGTTAAACTCAGATATACAGTCAACACACACACACACAGAGTACGTATGGTATTATATTGTCTATACAGGCCATTAATCCATGACAAGAGAAGTGGGAATGGAACAAAAATGCTTGTCTGATGATGATTGATGATTGAGCCAAAGGTACGTTCAGTGGCACAGTAATTAGAAGTGTTGAAAATAGAGAGAGAAGTGAAAGTAGCTAGATAAGCTTTTTGGACAAAGCATGGGATAATTATGAGGAAGGAAGAAGAGGGGTTGTGTGGACTGAAATACATATAAATCCAAGGAGAAAGAAATGGGGGGAGAGAGAGGGAGGGAGCGAGGGAGGGAGCGAGGGAGCGAGGGAGGGAGGACCCAGTGAGTGGGTTTTGTGTTGATAGTCACTTTCATGAAAGAGCAGAGAGTGGTGGTTGTGGGGGACGATTCCTTCTTCATCGAGAGAGCATTATTGAAAGAAAGGTGAAGATACCATACATGAATGAATGAATTGATTTGACAAAGCTTTTTGGCCCTATTCTTCTTCTTTCCCTTCGTCTCTCCACGTACGAACTATGTGTTGCATGCTCTATTGCATCTTCTTAGATCTGTTGTTGCTGCCAGCTAGCTACCTCTCTCTGTTCACTTTCTTGTCAAACACCACTTCATCTACCTAGGGTTTTTGAGTCGCCTCCTAGGAATTCCATACACTTATTAGTAAGATCTTGGTTCCAGTTTGTGGTTTAAAAAAAAAAAATCATGTCAGTAAAAGTGTCTCATGGAACTGGGTTCCATTCGAAAAAGCATATGAAAAAACATCATTTGAGAAAAAATAACCCCTTAAAATTTAAATTTTTTGAAAGATTAGTATTATGACTATTGAATGTGGGAATACTTTGGGCAACGGAGAAAAAATATCTTCTCATAGAGGATTTAATAGAACTCGAATTTAAATTATTGATGTCATCCAACATAAGATGGTTTTCATAAAACAAAAGAAAATTCATTGTAATAATTATTATAGTAAAAATCATCAAAAAATTATATAAAAAATATAACAAGAGGTTCCCATATTTTTGATTGTGTTTGTTTTTAGTATTTATAGTTTTATTATGTTGTTCTTGGTCAACATTAGTCTTTATAATTTTAAAAATGAACATGACTTTGAGCATTATGAAATTAATTCTTTTATGTATACTTAAGTATATTAATCTTTTTGTTAACGTCATACGTAAAATAACCTTTTCCTCTCACAATCTATTTAAGCCAGATATAAAATAAATATTTGCCTCTAATCTCTTATTTTTAACCATATATGGTCAATTTATTTCCGTGTTAACATATTTTTATTGAATTCATGGTTTTTATATGCATTTTTAAAACAATAGGAACTAACGTCATTACAAACTAATCCAACTAAAGAGATTGAGAATAATTAAATAAAATTATAGAGATTAAAAACAAAACACAATCAAAGTATGAGGATCTACTGTTGTATTTTCCTCAACTATATGCTCAAAAAATATCATCAATAATGTTATTTATAAAAGAATGAAACTGATTCACTTTCTCTTTTCACAACATTTTTTTTTTATTTTTGTTTTCGATTTATGACGGAACGAATCCGAATCCCTTGCATGATCATTCTTTCTCAATTACTTTTTGGCTAATTAAAGTGCATAGTATTTTAATTTTACATAATATTTTATTTTGATTCTTTAATTTTATAAAATATTTTTTTTTGTTCTTTAATCCCAACACTGTTAGATTTATTAACAAATAATTTTATATTAGTATTTTAAATATTAATAAAATATTATCACATGTTGACATTTTAAGTTTACTTTTTGAAAATATCAATGATTGACACACAAAAATAATCAATTTTTTTTTAATGAAAACTGATCCATGATCACAAAACAGTTACAAGCTAAGTAGGTCTGTCAAATAACCTCCTCTCATCATCCATCACCTTGACATAATAAAGTGTAGGTTGATCAAAGTTAGTGTAACAAAACAAAATAATTAGTAGCCTTAGTTGCCAACAAGTGGGCACAAACATTAGCTTTTCTAAACATAAAGTTTAAACAAATATTCCAATCCTTAAAGAAAAAAAATTCCAGCCTGATTAATAATCTCTCTAAAAGGATGGTGAGTAATGTTGTAATATCCTGATTTCTTAATTCTAAAACTAATTTCTAATTTAGGTTAAATTAATAATTACTAAGTGATTAAGATTTTGGGTGACAATTGGGTATTTTGACTCTTTGGAGTGTTATATGAGCAGATGTGAGCACAATGATCAAGTTATGAAGTGAAGCGGATGAGTATGGTGAGGATTTTCCTCATTATACCATATGCCGTGGCGCAAAGCACAAAAAAGTGTTTAATAGGGACGTTTTTCAGTTCATGAAAACAAATAAGAAGAGGAGAGAAACATGATGAAGAGAGGAGAAGCAAAAGAATCTCTACTAGGACAGGTAATTTTGAGGCCTTAAGAGACATTTTTGATTGATAGCTCACGGAGTAAGTTTCGTACTGCCCTTAGCTTTGATTTTATACTAATTTCTCTCAGTATAAGTTATAGAAAAATTAAATTGGAGAATTTTAAGGAGTTTGTTTCTTACCCTTTGGTAATGAAATGGTTCTTAGGAATTGAATTAAAGTTTTATGACCAGCTTTAAGTTAAAAGAATAAAGCTTTAAGGTTGTATGCTTGAATTGACCCTAAACTAAAGAGAAAAGGAATAAATTTTTTGAAAGAAGTGGATTAGAGTTAATATAGATGACGTAGAGAGGAGATTAGGGGAAAAGGAACCTAGGTTGGTTAAGTGAAAGGGAATGAATAGCTAAATGAGGTTTTAAATGATAATTAGTGCTTATGGTCAATTTCATTAATTGACTAAATAGTACTAATCATGTGTAAATTGATGTATTGCATGTGTGACTTGAGAAAGGAAACGTGTGGGGATATTAATAGTTGAGAGAAATCCATGACAACCCTTTCTTATAACAGAAAGGTTGAGGTAATTAAATAACTTATTCTATTTAATAATCTAACTTAACTGTTTATGAGTATGAATATTACTACATGAAATTATTTTAAAATGTGCATATTTGAAAAGTAAATGATTGATGCATGAAAATGAATTTTTAAAGGAAATGATTTCATGAAATTACACGATTATGTGACTGCATATATATATATATATATATGGATTTATAAACAAGCAAGTGGTTTGTATGTGAGCATAATCATAGGGGATGGGAGTTCACCCATAAGGAGAAGTAGTGAGAAGTCCATAAGGCATTGTTTTCCTTAGTGCTCGACGAGGGGTAGTATTAGAGAATTTCATCTTCTTATTACCTATTGAGGCATTGTGTTGAAGATTATCTCTTTAGTGCCCAAGTGGGGCATGGTGTAAAGATCTGAGCTCCTTACCATCTATGTGATGTGGTGTTAGAGTAATGACATCCCAATCATTGTGTGTGATAGGGGAAAATAGTAGTTCGGAAGTTGGACAAACACTTTTGGCTAGGTGATTCTACCACTGAAGGTACCCTTATGTCAATAAGTATGTGTTGGCCTATTAGGAGCCTATGATTTCAATTGAGGAGATATAGAGGATTGGATAGTAGTGGTTATGCTAGTGGTGATAATTGGTTATAGAAATGATTTTATAAAGTGAAATTATATTATATGTTTTATTTTGATTATATACATGCAATACTTGTTTATAGTTACCTATGATAGTTAGTAGCAGCAAGTTATTATGTAACTAAAATTATTATCTCACCCTGTGGTTACATTTTTATAAGTCAAAATAGTGAGTTGGGCAAAGAAAAAGATATCAGGCTAGTGTAGTAGTACTACAGTCATGTGCTCTTAGAGTTTGTGTAATG